CGTGTCCAACCAGGATTTCGGATTCCTCCCCCTTCCCCCTTCAACACTTTCGGCCTTTCATCTCCTATTTCGAGATCGCGTTACCCCTCGTGTCCTCCTCCCTTCTTTCTCCATAAATCTAAATCGTTCTCTTCCTTGCCAACGTAAGTTTTGACAAGGAATGTATTATTATCATTACGAATTTGTGTAAATTACGACGAATTACGCGCATCCCTTAATAGAAATGATAATTCTTCGAAAAAAGAAAATGGATCTAATAACCCGTTCTATCGAATATATTATATCCATTTACATTATTGGTTTTCAAAAAAAAGAAAAAGAAAAGAAAAGAAAAGAAAAGAAAAGAACCAAGCCAAGCACACGATCGACTATTACTACCAGGAAACGAATCCCGAGGCATTGTCCTAGCTAACCATCCTAGCGCTTACGTAACCGAGAACCATTAATTACAATTCGCACGGAGCTGAGTTCGCCACGCAACGACGATCCGTTCAGCATCGTATCCCCCCGCCGGTGTAACATGAATCGTTCACCGGTCCGGAAAAATCCGATCGTGTCACACTTTTCATCCCATAAACCTGAGTAGGGGAGAGAGATAAAATCCAACCTGTCTTGACGCGCGTCATCCCTGGATGGGAAAAGGGGAGGGGGAAAAAGCGTATCGTTGATAATCGATAGGGTAGCGGTTAACGTGGCGGGATCCGTGCGCGTGACCCACGAGTTCGTAGCACGAGTGAGAAGGAGGAGGCGATACGCGAAGGGGAGGGGGAAGGAGGAGAAAGGCGGAAAGAGAGAAAGAGAAAGGGAGCATCGGGGGCTAGTCAGGTCAGCGTCGCCGACGGCTGGGGTATACGAGGAAGAGGAGCGTTGTTCTTGGGCCCGCCATTCGGAGGGGATGGCTCGGAGGAGAGGAAGAGCTGTCGGCTCCTTTGAAGTCGGTCGGTACCGTGTGTAATTAGGCCGCCGCTCCCCACCCCGCCCTCAGCCTCTGATCTCGCCGCGCTGTGTCGCTAATTGCTCACCGCCCCACGGCAGAAGCGTCGTCGCGTCGTCGTCGTCGTCGTCGTCGATATTGTTGTTGTTGTTGTTGTTGTTGCGTTGTCGTTGCTCACTACGTCGGATGTAATTTTGGTCGTCGAGAGATCTAGAGTCGTCGCAGAGTCGATTCGAGTTCTCGATTCGAGAGCTCTTTCGAAGAGCAACGAACTAGACGAGACTAGGATTTCGTCGGGCGGATATCGACGTGGATCGGCCGCTAATATCCTGGCCAAGGAGCCGTGCATTGGGGTAGTCGATGCGGATGGACTTCGGTAGCCGGGTTAAACGACGCGATCCAAGCGGTTTTCCGTAGCCGCAGGAACGCCAGTTTGGTCGCGTTCTGACCGTGTATGTGGGATCTAGTTGTGCTAGCAGTGGCGCTAGTAGTCTCGCGTTAACCTCTACGCAATTACGTAATTAATCTCCTCGAGGATTCGCGAAAGCGTCAATTGGAATGGAAGAAAAAGGATTTAGCGTTTTTCTTTATATTTCGTCAAAATATATTTATATCTGGTCGTAATAAAAATGGAGCGTAGTTGGTAGTATTTGAAATCGTTTCGGATTCTGAAAAAATTTTTCTCCAGACTTGGGAATCGGTTTTAACTCTGGAATTCTCTTTGAGAATTTCTTCTCTACTCGTACTTCTCTTTCTTTCCTCTCGCTACTTTTACGCCTTTTTTCCTTTTAACTTTTTCCGCAGGATTGAACGATGAAAAGGTTTCTCATCTGGCGACAACCTGCACCGGCCTACCCGTCCGGTGTACAGTTAGGAGTCTTTACGAGCCTCTCTAACGCCACTCCTCTCATTTTTGACGTTCACATTCCGACTGCACAACAATCTCCCCGGCTAGGAAAAACGCGCGACCGCTAATTCCCCGTCTTGCAACGAGACAATGAACTCGGTATTTAGGACATTGGATAGAAAGACACGCGGAACGAGTGAGAGTTTATTGCGAAAACCGGAGGCTCTTTAACCCGAGAGGTTATTCCGAACAATCGAACGGGTGGGGGGGAATATATAACCAGTTTCAAAGGCGACGGAAAGAAGTTTATAAGGGGGTAATAAACTTCTCCCGTTGAATATAATCGAATGAATTAATCGATGATTTACGGTCGTAAATCTGTAATTTGGTCAATCGGTATTTTTTAATTTAAAATGATAATAATGAAGAGTAGATCTAGATACGTGTTCGTAATGACGTAACGAGTTAAAATTACGCTTTTGCTCGTCCTCTCGTGACTCAAAATACCCTTTAAAATTCACTCCACCCGTTTCAAATTTAAAAATTTTTAAAAATTTCGTTCTCTCTCTTCGAAAAGCGAAGAAAAATTATCTTTCGATAATTCGTCTCGTTTTCTTTTTTTTTTTTTTTAATATAATTTTCAGATCATTAAACGATTAAAACGAACGAGCAAACACGTTTATTCCCCAATTATCCCGCAAACGTTCTTATAAAATCAATTATACACTCATCCCAATTATCCATCCACCGGTCTAAACCGCAAAAACAAAGAAGCATCCAGTCCACCGGTAGCCCGAACACTGGCACGAACACAGAGAGATTCAACCGCAAATCCGACCGAAAATCCACGTTTGGGGAATCGAAACAAAACGGAGGCAAATGCAACGAATAGATAAGAGATAGGAAGGGAGCTTAACGAGCGAAGGGGAAGAGAAACGAAGAAAGGGAGGATACAAACACTATGCTCGTGATCACAGAAATGGAATCCCGACGTAAACAGGCTTAAATTGTAATCTTTGTCTTTCGCCCCTCTCTCTCTCTCTCTCTCTCTCTCTCGGTAGGAGTACTTGTTGCTCGTCTACCCTTTGATGTCGGTCATGCACTGCTCGAAATCAATTTGGACTCATTAACGGGCTTGGAACACGGTTGCCAAAGGATATCCGAGCAAACATCGCGTGCCATTAACCTTGCCTCTTTTAGCAGGTGGCGGGCGGAGAACGGGCTACCTTCTTCCTCCTTTTCGTACGTTCCTTTTGTTCCTCGAGACCGTTTTTCGATTTCCTATTTCGGGAGACACGCGTTACGCTCGAAACTCGCTGCAGATTCTCCTATTCGGATCTTTCGAAGGCGATTTCTCGGATTTTTGTGATTTTGTGAGCGAGTTTATGCGATGGCTATTGATATTTTGGAGGAAGATTTTTAATTATTTTGATTCGAAAAATATATTGCAAATTCTCCCTTTCGCATCTTTGAACAGCGTAAACACGAGTATTAATATTTCGGTATCAAATTTTTGAAATTGAAATTTTTGAAACCTTTGAGTAATTTTTAAACAGATTATTAATTTACACAGGGTCCGAGTTTTTCGACGATCGTATTTTAAAGGCGAGTCGTAGGAGGTCAAAGATCTGAAGATTGGACATCAAAGAAATTGGAAAGAAATTTCTTAGCTGGATGAGACGCGTGTTCAAACGAACCAGATAGTAGACAGATTTTTCTCTTCATTGGACGAGCGTCCGAAGCTTGAGACCGAGCAGATGATTTTTCTTCGCATCAAGTAACTCGCTATATTTCGGTGCCGCGATCATTCGCGAAAGTCTGCCAATCCAATCATCACTGTAAAAATATTTTACACGATATTTTAACAAATTCGATCCCCTAAAAATCTCCAGAATACAAACCAATCCATTCTCCAACATACACTCATCCATCTTCTTCATTTTTCTCTTAAAAGAAATTTCACCAAAAAAAAAAAAAAAAAGAATAAGAAAGTTGTTAAAAAATCCTAAATGTAAGCGACAAATCACGATGAGATGTCCTCACTTTTGAAACGAAACGTCGCGGATTCCGGATGACTCGAGGAATTCGAACGCGATTAATCGAGGGATAGAAATGGCGGGAGGAGGCGGCGGCAGGATTTTGGCGCCACATACCCGATCGCGCAACCAACGACACCATCCAGTGTCCCATGGGCTTGGGCAAAGAACGGCCATAAATTTTGGCGAGTCGCTCGTTCTCGCGGTTTGTCGCACGCGTCTAGATTCGCGGCCGTGATTTATTACGAGGATCGCGTGCGGTCCCCCGTGCACGGATTCTAAACGCTAAACGTGTGCCACCCCTTCGTTCAAACTTTCGATCGTATCCACGATCTTTCGCTCTTTTAATCCGATCAAACGAATTTCATCGTGTTTCTCGTTCGATGCTATATTTCACTTCTTTCTTTCATTCCTCCTTTTCTTTTCGAGATACTTCTCATTGGATTTTTTTCGTCGAAGAAATTTCTCTGTAAAAGTGAGTCTCTCATTCTCGGTTAAAGTAGTGTCTGAAGTTTTATATTATCGTGGAATTGGACTGGATGGAGCGAATATCGAATAACAACAAGTTCAAACAGACTCTTCTTTTCGACGAAAAGGAGAGAGAGTAGAGAAGATGGGATCGGGACAAAGGCGAAGAAATATTTGAAGGAGGGAAGAAAGGGGGTTGGAAAAAGTATCGACCAACGACCGTTGAATGGCCGCGGTCGAAATTTTTCGTGATGAGTAAAGTTCAAAGGCTTCGGTTAAATCGTACTTAAAAGTTAAAACCCGAAAGCGTAAGCAAAGGATTTGAACGGAGGGCGGGTGTGGGGGTGTGGAATGGAGGGAGAAGCATAACAGGAGGCTCGAAATGATCAAAGAGCGTTAAAAGAGGATCGGGTTGTCTCGCCGCTACCCGTTTTACGCTTAAGTATATACACGCGCCGTCCTTTCATCGAGACAAATATCTTTCAAAATCGATGTCTTTTTTCTTCCTTATTTATTACAATTCCCAATTTTCCATATTTCCTTTCCATTATTATTTTTCCGCGAGACGAGCAGAAAATTAATCTTTTAAATCTTTCTTTTATAAAAATATTCGTAAATAAATTGCTACGATATCTTTAGAAAGAAACCAAAAAAAAAAAAAAAAAAAAANAAAAAAAAAAAAAAAAAGAAAAAGAAAAAAAAACTCCAAACTCACCTGCAGCTCCTTTCTCATCTTCGCTTCACCGTCCCGTACCGGGTTCCCGATCCGACACAATCCCCACCACTCGGAAAAAGAAAGTTTCCCAAAGCAAACCTACTTTTTTCTTCCCGATCACCCTTCGATCATCTTCTCACGTTCTCCACCACCCTTTTCTACGGTTCACAGATCAACATCACAGATCCGTTTTGCTCTCGTCGACAACACGAGGAAACGTCACCATCGACGATCGATCTTCTTCCAAGCATTCGAGATGAATCAATGAATATATATATATATATATAATTCCAGTCCGATATAACGATATAATACGCGATATATAATTTAACGCGGAGCAAGGGAGCGAGTTTTTCGAATGAAAGGTGGAGAGAAACGGAGCGAAGGCGGGGGTGGAAGCGGAGACCACGTGGTGGGTCGAGGTCTCGAGCCGGTGTGCTCGATACACGTACCCGTTGACGGTCCGCGGCGCACTGCCGCCACTTTCCGCTTTGCACGCTTCCTCTTCTCTTCTCCTTCTTCGTTCCTTCCTGCGGATCCAAGCCCTTCTTCCGAGTCACGAGGAGAGCCGGTGCGCGCACGTGCCGGCGAGGAGGAACACCTCCTCTTCTTCGCGCTTCACCCTTTCTCTCCTTCGCCTCCTCGCCTCTCTTCTTGTCCGTCGGCCCGCTTTGTTGCTGCCGGGGCCCTCTTCTTGCTCCTTTCCCGCTTGTTTGTTGTGGGTGTTTTCTTTGACGGCTGCCTCCGCGCCGCTCTTTTTCAGACCCGGAAGATTCGACCGGACCCGGCCAAGATTAATTGACGCCGAGTTTTAGGGGAGGCGGAGGAAACTCCCTTGCCTCCCTCGCTCTCTGCCTATCGATATGCCCCCCTTTTTTCTCTTCCCCCTCCCTCCCTCCTCTTCTCAACTCTCCTCACGATTCTTTCTATTCGTTCGTACCGCTCGCTTCCCTTTCGTTACTCCGCTTTCGGAAAATCCACGATTTTCAACCAACGGTTCGATATCGATAGTGTATCGAGTTATAAGCCAAGGATGATCGCAACGAAAATTGGATGTCGATGATATTTGGGACGATTTTTTTGGGCGTGGATGGTTTTGGCGTTTAAGATGAGACGTGTGCAGAATGGAAGGATGCTCTTCGAAGCGAGCTTTCTCGAAAGAGTTGCCAATTCTGTTTTATTTAACCGTGTTTAGATTTCTTCCCGAGATGAAAATCTCGTGTACTGTTCGTTGATTCGAAGGAGACGCGAATGGAAGGCGATCTTCTTTTCTCAGGTACACGGAAAGTTGGAGGCCCTCGTTGGAAATGGTCTCACGTGATTCTTAGGTACTACAGGAATACTGCTACTCCGAGTGGCTGGAGGTTCCTTGCGCCATCGGAGCTTGGCACTGACTGACAATCGGGCCAGGTTAAACCGCGCGAAGTAACCAGACAACAGTGTCGGTGTGGAAGGGCAAGGGGAGGCATCGAGTCAGAGAGAATCGGGCAGAGAGGGATAAAGGGCGGGGGAGACAGTACCACGTGGAGGGTTGTTTTCCTTTCGAAATTTTCCTATTGGCGATTCCTATTTCTTTTCTTTCTTTTCTTTTTGGCGTGGACGCGAAGAAAACGTTTGGAAAATTTCGACGAGTGATTGATATTTCTTTTCTCTCTTTTTTCTTTTCTTTTTTTTTTTTTCTACGAAAAATATTCCGCGTATACTCTTGAATTTCTTCGCGTCGATTCTAATAAACGAAGAGAAAGCGATGATAAGATATAAACGCGACAGAGTATAAAATATATTTAAATTGATTCATTTGCCTCGAACTGTCCTCCTTTCCTTCGTTACATAAACTCACTCACTTGTAAGCTTTCCTACCCTAATGAATACACCCTTGTATCCAATATTTTTTTCACATCTTCGCGGAATCGCTAATAAAATTTACCCGCGTTATAAAAACTACCTCTACAATACCACCTATACAGTTTCCTAAAAAGTGTTAATTAAAAAATTTTGACCTGCGCTTTTCTCGATTTTTCCCCAAACCCAAACTGAAAGATCCTTTCAGAGAAAAGTCCCAGAGTATGATCCTCGAACGATTATGATCACGATTCAGTCATCTTTCACTCTCTTCCTCTCTTCTAAAAATCTTTTCTCAGCAATCGTTTAATAAGACAATCGGTTGCATCACGTCGATACATCTGGTCGTCTCCGCGCAAATTCTTCACGATCTAAGCGTTCTAAGCGCGTCTCGACGCGATCGATACGCGTCGTTAGCCCTCCTTATCGAACGGCGAGGGTTCGGTTCGGCGGGCAGAAGGCGGGTAGAAAAAGCCTATTGCTCGAAAAACGGGTTTGCGGTGCCGCGGGTGGTGGCGGGTGCTCTGTAGTTTATCGTTGAAATCGTGTAGCACGTTACGGTACACCGCGATCATTAGCTAGATGCCGCCTGCCTGCCTTACTGCCTGACTGCCTGCCTGCCGGGAAGGCTGCACGATACTCGCTTTGATATCCGCTTGTTCCACCGGAGTGATTCGAGGAACGAAGCTTCAGCTCCAAATCTTTCGCGCAATAACAGCGGTTCTGCGGTTCCGATATCGACTCTTAGTCGATGTAACGAAACGTGTAAACTCGTTTGCTCTTCGTACGATCCAATGTAGTCAGTTTTAACGCGAATTGAATTCCGTGGTGAGATATCGTCATAACGTTCGTTGCACGATTGGCACGAGTTCCACCCTTATGTCAATATTTGCACATTCGTCTATTTGAGATAATATTTTTCCATTATCGTTTCTCACGTTATTTCGTAATCCTTTACAGGGGGTTGCAAAAGAAAGAAAGGAAAAAAAACAAAGGAAACCGCAAATATATATATATATAGTCGTAAATTCGACGGCGTACACAAGGGGAGAAATATATCCCAGGGATATAGAGAGGAGGAGCGGATATTTCTTTTGCCGATCTTTGGAGCAGCGGCTTGTTTGCGGAGTCGCCAGCTCGAGGCGACCGGAATGACGTTATTAACGAAGAACGTGACGCCGGGATGTTATCGTGGCCGAGTAAACGATAAGCGGGAGATCGGCTCCGTATCGGGAATCTTACGGGTGTGAGTCATCGGCGAACCGGTCGATACCAATTGAGGCCGATCGCGGGGACGACGATCGAGCCTTTGGCGGCCCTTTAAAACGATAATCGAGCAGAAAAAGCCGAAACGGTTTCGTATCGATTCAAATCTGATCACCTTTCCCGTCTCCTTCGTGTTTATACATATGTACAGCCGCGAAATCGGCAGGGACAAATATGGTATTGGCCGCGATCGTAATCGCCGATCCGAGATCCGAGATCCAAAGATTCGAGATTAAGAAATGGAATGGACGTGTTTCGTGATATTGCGTGATATGAAATTCGGTTGGAAAAAAAAATTTGGACGCGGCCAAAAAATAGAGAGAGAGAGAGAGAGAGAGAGAGAGAGAAAGAAAAAAAAAAGAAAAGGAGATATATAACCTCTATCCTCGTCCGTATTTTTATCCGTTTCGCGCATCGCGTGTCGATAAATCCGGATACACACCTTAAAGGTAAGCGACTCGAACGAAAGAATTCGTGAATTCTTCTCTCCACGGATCGGTCACAGGTGATCGAGCGAGCCCAACCTATCCGACTATGGTAGAAGATCAAAAGTTAAAGTGTGTCAGCTCGCAAAAGCGGAACACGTCTCGGTTCGTGGATCTTTGATGGCTCGAATCGTGGAGAGGCTCGAGGAAGGAGCGTTGACTTGGCAGTAGGACACGTAACACGGTGATTTGACACTAACAGGGATACGGGAATGGCGTCGTGACCAGGTGTAATCGAGAAAAGGGGAGCCACAGGAGGGGGAGCATCTCACGGAGGGCAAGTCGGCGCCTTTCATCCCTTCCCCTTCGTCGCTCCTCTCTCTCTCTCTCTCTCTCTCTCGTTTATCTCTTTTTTTCTCGCTTATCCTCCCCCTTTGGCCGTTCGGTAATGCTCGCCTTTCTCGATCCTGCCTCGCTCGTCGTTTCGTGGAAACTGATATCTCTCGACGAAAAGGGACTTCGGGGAAAAGGGAAAATTCGTCTTTTTGGGGGGGAAAAGGGATCCTGGTTGGAAAGGATGCTGTCGATCCTTCTTTACAGACGAGGACGGAGCGTTATTACCATTAATTCTCGACCTTGCGTCGCACGGATACTTCCATCGTACTAGTGAGAACGAATGATAATTATGTTTTTACAATCCTATCTCGAATGCCGTTCGCGAGGAAAATGGTTGGAAAAAAAAAAGATAATCAGGATAGAAACGCTACTAGATTCTTTACTTTCAGAGTACGAAACATGAAGTTACCAAAGGATAAGGATGTAGAAATAATTAATTATTTTCGATTAATTCATATTTTTTTTTTAAATCTATTTAATAATAAGTAAGTAAGAAATGCTTGTTTTAATTATATTGATACGACTATGGTGTTGAAACGCGGCTTGTGCGATCTTTTTTAGATGATATGATACATATTTCAGGATTCTTTGAACGTGGAACAGGAATAACAAAAGAGTGGTCGTTAACTATTTCCATGTTGCTCGTGCTTGGCGTTGTTACTAATTAACAAGTAACCGGGTGCTCGTTATGCTTACCTGGTTGACGAGAACCTGGTTGGATTCCTCAACACCTAACCATTTATTCGTGGAACTGCTACCTCATCGATCTTTCTATCTAAACAGACGGTCTTGCGTTCCAACTTTCACTCTAGAGATTTTACATTACAACGTTTAACCATTTACAAAATTTTTAAATACGAAGAAGATTTGGTCAACGAGGTGGCCGAGAGTTTGTACGAAGCTAATCTAATTTTTCAAGTATTTTATAGTACAAGCTAAAATTAATTCCAACGAAGAGAAAAATAATAATAACAAATATCCTTACTTAAATCTAACCACTCCAAACTATTCCAATCATTTTCATAATTTTCTCCGAGTTCAAACTTGGACACTGAGAAATTAATCAAAGTTAAGATTAATTAAAATTTTGGATAAACGTATTTTTAAAATAAAATAAAATAAACAATAAATATTCAAAATAATAACATTTATTCCCGCCACAATTTTTAATCTTAACCGAACGATCTCCGATTCAATCATTTACGATAATAGGAAACTCGAATAAACTTCAACTATGGTAGAGAAGAATCTCCAACTTACCCATTACCTTTCACCACTTGGATCAAAGAACACCGCTATTCCAACACGAACTTTATCACGGGCCCTTTGTCGAATATAACGACACGGGCGAACGGCCTGCGAAGAAAAAAAAAGAAGAAAAAGAAGAAGAAGAAGAAGAAGAAGAAGAAGAAAAAGAACAACAAATCCCAAAGTTACCGGAAGACGAACGAAAACGAGAGACTTTATTTTTTAAACGAGGCGCTCCCTCCCCGATTCGT